GTGTGAGTTAATAATGACTGGGGGCATGATCTCCACACAAACTACAGGCTCCTGAAGGTGACCCCCCAGCAGTGAATTGTGTGGCGCTAATCCTGGAGATGGGAATCTCATCCAGGTGCTGCCTGAAGAGTGATATCTCTTTTTCTGAAATGTGAGCTCTTCCCAGGGCACTAGCAACCAAGAGCTTGGTCCCTTCCCTGGAGGGTGCTTCCAGCCCAGTGAGAGGAACAGATGGTGAGGACACAGTGTACTGGACACTGTGAACAGGGCAGAGGGGCCACATGACGTTGAGATCGTCCCTGAAGCTGGGGTGGGGCTGACCAGAGATCAGCAAGTGACAAATGACCTGGAAAGCTGCGGGGATGGAAGCAGGAAGGGGGATCACAGAGGCCTCCCCATTAGGGGAAGGACTAAGATTTCTCTTGCCACATTTTTTACTAGTGCATTATAGTTATATATAATGGATTTGTTGTTTCATATTTGTGCATGCACACATCACAGCAATCTCATTTGGCCAGTATTAAACTAAGATTTTTATTGCATGTACAGCTAACACGTCGTTCAGCAGATTTGTTCTAGTGAGCCTACTATGTGCTGGCCTGTGCTGTAGATTCAAGAAATATGTATCGAACAAGGCAGAAAAGGAACCAGCCTCGGGCACTTCCACTCCAGTGTGGGATTGCTCCAGTTCATTCCACAAAATCAGTAATTGAATTCCCTGTAGCTATAAATTCTATCAAGAATCTGAGTTCCATGGAGGAGCTGGCTTGTCAGTCTGGACTGAGGGGTGGAGTTCACTGCCAAGAATATAGTTGCAGTTGAGCTGGATGCGGTGGTGCACACCTATAATCTCAGCTGCTCAGGAGGCTGAGGCAGGAGGATCACAAGTTCAAAACCAGTCTCAGCAACTTAGTGAGGTCCTAAGCAGCTTAGAAAAACTGGCTGGGGATGTGGCTCAGTGGTTAAGGGCCCCTGGGTTCAATCCCTGCCCCCCCCCCAAAAAAAAAAAAAAACATGCAATTGATAAACTTGTTTCAGTTAATAATTTAGCCTCTCCCATTATCTTCTAAGTCTCACCTGCCACTATCTTTTGATAAACATGGGTTTTATATTTTTGGACAGTAGGAAAAAAAGTCACAAAAAATTTTGTTTCACATGAAAATCATAGGAAATTGAAATTTTGTGTCCATAAATAAAATTTTCTTGGGCATAGTCACACTGGCTCATTTTTACTTAGTACTTTTGCAGCTTTGTGCTTCAAAGGCAGAGTTGGTAGTTGAAATCTGGAAACCAAAGCAGAAAATATTTACTATTTGGTTCTTCATGGGTAAAAAAAAAAATATATTGCCATTCTCATTCCTCCAAATGTGTCCCAATGTGCCCATAAACATTCTCCCTGTCCAGGAAGGTGAAGAAGGAGACAGCTAAAGTGAAGCTTCTGTTCCTGCAGTGCTTCTCATAGATCCTGGGCAGGGGCTCCTTAGCCTACAATCTCTGGTCCCCTCTGGCCTGAGACTCTTCTGATGTGTTGTCTTGGGCAAGCATGGTTTTGCAAGACCTTAATTACAGAATTCCCTTCCTGGCAGGTGATTCCCATTAGAGAATGGCCACACCTGCTTCCCTGTAGAGCTGAGCTCAATATTTTCTCATAGGTTGAGGCAGTGGGATTCTTCCCTTTCCTTCAAAGTGATGATAACCAAGCCCTGTGTATTGCAAGGAAGTATACCCATGGCTTATTGGACAAAATGCAGCAACAGCAAATTTGCTTACAAATCACATGCTTCCATTTACATCAAATGGTATTTATGGACTTCCCCACATGTATGAGCAATAGAGCTCTATCTGGATGTTGATCCCCAGAATGTTCTCCAGGGTTATCTGAGGTTGCATTGAGATTTGGGCTGATTTTTAAAACTTTCTTCTTACTTTTTTGTACTCCATGTGTTTTTTTTTTTTTTAATTAACATGAATCATCTTAATCTGCACAGAGCAACCCAGTTATTTTCATTTCAAGAAATAAATAAGAAGGATGGCTGCATCCGAATGTGGGTGAAACAATTATTTGTGTGGTTGTGATGTAACTGCTAGAGAGAGATGTCGTTTTCCTACTGCTCACCTCTTGGAGTGGGGAAGTGCGTGGCTTTGGAAAAAGGAAAATAATTAAGAACATCGTAGGAGGTGAGGGAAGATATAGAAGTGAGGTCATCATTCTGAGATGCAGAAAGTTCCCCATATATAAATCTCCCCGGTTCACTAGTAGTATTTGGAAAGGGGTGGGGGCGGGTGTGTACCTTTTCTGGTCCTTTCCCCCCACCTCTAGGAGCTCTTGAGAAACAGCCTCTATGAAGTGTTTAAAAAACAGTAGCTTGGCGCCACCTAGTGTCGGTGCTCTGTCACTTCACCTGAGCATCTGAGAAGCTTCCCTTCAGATTCTTTGTTTGATGTCCCTGTCCTGGTGGCATTTGCACTGCAGGCAGCGTGATGCTTCCCTGGGGTTCTGCCGGGCAGTAGGGATGCCTCATTAATTTATCCCTTCCTTCCTGTCTCAGTCACACAAAGCTACTGGCCTGGTGTGGTTCTGCAGTTGAAGGGGGGAAAGGATGCCTCTGTCAAAGCCCATCCCTGCCTTTCTTCAGCAGAGCACCCTGAAAGGTGGCCCACACTTCTCTGGCTGGAACACAGTCCTGCTCCCCAGAGCTGCCTTGGGTTTGGGGCTCTTGAGTGGGAATAGGAGGGCCTGGCTGGTGGTAGGCTGCTTAGCTATTGGCTCCACCCACAGTCAGAACTGAGTTCTCCTTCCCCACTCCAGCAGGCTCACCTTTAAAAAAATTTGTTTTTAATACCAGAGATTGAACCCAGAGGCACTTAACCACAAGCCACATCTGCAGCCCTATTTTGTATTTCATTTAGAGAAAGGGTCTCACTGAGTTGCTGAGGCTGGCTTTGAACTCAGGATCCTCCTGCCTCAGCCTCCAGAGCTGCTGGGATTACCAACATGCACCACCTGTGTCCAGTGCTCACCTCCTTCTTACCCACCTTCTGCACCCCATGCCTGTTTGTCCTCCATTTCTCATCCTTCTGCTCACCTGGTCCCTCACTACGTCTCATAGCTTTACCAGCTGTTAGCTCTAGAACCTTCCACTCCTCCATGAACAGCCCCTCTTTCATTCTGGGACTTCTTCACTCACCCATTATGTGGAACTTTTTGTCAAGCAACAATCTGGTTGTCATTCTTGGGTTCTGATCTTTTTAGTGGCTTCCAAGGTCTCATAGGAAAAAGATCAGATTTGGAGTCTGGCCTCTAAGACTGCTGTCCACCTGAGCCAGACCCCTTGCTGGCTCTTCTTCTCTGCCTTGCTCCCACCTGTTGACGCTTTCTCTGCTCTCCCTTCTTCCCCAATTTCCCAGTTAATTTCCTTGGGCCCACAGTTCGAGTCAAGTGCTCCCCAGATATACTTAGAAAACACCCATCGCTCCCCTGCCTCCATCCCGTCCTGGCTCTCAGAATCGGCTCTGCCCCCATGATCTTGTCCTTGGATCTGTTTCCCCTTGTAGATCACTGGTTCTGACCTGGGGGCAGATGGTCCCTGCCGGGGATATATTCATCTGTCTCTGGAGATACTTTTAGTTGTCACAGTGGGAAGGGGAGGGAGCTCCTGGCCTTTAGCAGGTGAAGCAAAGAATCATCTGGTTCATGAGGTCAAGTGTGGACAGGAAGAAAGCCTGCCCCAGACATGTAAAGGCTCACTCGATGCGCTCAACCCTTTCGTAGACTTGTGCATAGATGTAGATCTCACCATGTCTCTTAAAATCTCCCAGCCACCAGGAAAAAACGGAAGAATTAGCCTCGCCTGCCCTCCTACCCCACATCAGGATCGTTAAGCAGGGTACTGCTGCTGCCCCAGAGAAAGTCACCCTTTTTGTGTGTGCCTTTGCTTCAAAATTATTTAAGGTCTCATGCTAAATTGTATTTATTTACACTCTGATCTGTTGACAGTAAAATCTCACCTACAGTTGTAGTTGGGACATTCTGTAAGCCCTGGCTTCTTCAAAAAGTTTACTACAAGGGCCAGGGATGTGGCTCAGTGGTAGAGCGCTTGTGTGAGGCCCTGGGTTCAATCCTCAGCACCACAAAAGAAGGAGCAACAACAAGAAGTCAATCATGAGAAAGGGTCATTTGACTATGCTGGGTTAAAAGAGAATAAGGGGGGTGGCAAGAAAAGATTTTTGAGACAATGGGAGAAATTTGAATATGGACTATGTACGAGATAGGACTCCTGAGTTAGTATATGGGTTTTTTCTTTTTTTTTTTTTCTTTTCTTTCAGTATTGGGATGGAACCCAGGAGTGATCTCTCCCTGAGCTACATCCATCCATCCAACCATGTATTTATTTATTTGTTTGTTTATTCTTGGAAGATTGAACCCTGGAATGCTTAATCACTGAGCAACATCCCCAGCTCTGCACATCCCCCTCCTCCTTTTTTTTTAAATTTTTAATTTAGAGACAGGGTCTTGCTAAGTTACTTATGGCCTTGCTAAGTTGCTGAGGCTGGCTTTGAACTTATGATCCTCTTCCTCAGCCTCCTGAGCTGCAGGGATAGCAGGTGTGATAACAGATAAGCCACTATGTTGGGCTTATCCTAATATGTGATTTAAGTATGACAGTGGTATTGTGGTGATGTGGGAGTATTAGGGTGGAAGTGTCAAAATGACACTTCGTAGAGTATTTAGGGTGGAAGTGTCAAAATGATTGTAATTTGCTTTCAGTGACTTAGCTGAGAAGCAGGTGTATGTGTATATGTGTGTGTATGTAAGTGCAGGTGGAAAGAGAAGAACAGATGAGGCCAAATCTGTTAGTAGTAGGTGGATTTCGGTAAAGGGAGTCTGGGTGTTTGCCGTGCTATCAGTTCAACTTTTTGTGGTTGGAATCTTTGGGGGCACACGGTGGAATGGCATACTCTGCCGGAAGCCCCCTGAGCCTGGCCATCTGTGTCTTCAGTTTGCAGCTCCCCACCCATCCACATGAAGGTGCAGCCTCTGAACCAGACGGCCCTCCAGGTGTCCTGGAGCCAGCCAGAGACCATCTACCACCCACCCATCATGAACTACATGATCTCCTACAGCTGGACCAAGAACGAAGACGAGAAAGAGAAGACGTTCACAAAGGACAGTGACAAAGACTTGGTAAGGACCCCTGTTTCCAGATCGAGGGGCTACAGCCCTTGCAGTTTCAGAGGGGCCTGCTGAGCTTAGGGACTGCCGTGGGCTATGCTCCCACATACTAGCCACAGGAGTGGACAGTGGAAGGAGCCTGGCTCCATCCTGACCTCGCATCTGTGAACTCTGACCTGGAAGAGCTAGTTAATTGTTCTTTGCAGTGGCCCTCCAAGACTGATAACTTTAGCTGCCATTATTAACAAATAGAAAGCTTCTAATAGTCCCTTTTCATCCAATAGGATTACTGTACAAATTAAATGGTGCATTTAAGGATCCCCCAGGTTCTGGCATACAGCAAGCGCTACATAAGTATTCACTCTTATAATCACAGTTACTCCACCTCAACCTCTGCCTCCTTTTTCCTTCAACTTCCTGCTGTCACATCACCACCTCCCTGTCCACAGTCCCCACCATTCCCATTTGTCCTATCTTGCATGCTCCCATTTCCTGCGGGATCCTTGTGGCCATGGAACTTCAGCTTCTGTTCTGCAGCTCCCAGATCCCAGACCATCTGACCCCACTGGGAGCAACCTGGGCTCAGTCCCCTCCAACCCCCAGTTCCCCAACCCCACACCCCATTTCCACTCTCACTGGGCACCCAACAAGGCCCCTCCTTAATGGTGTATGCAGAAGCTACCTTCTCAAAGCAAACCCTCCAACAAGCAGTAGTCTTCACTTGCACAGAAACTCAAAGTGACACATTTGCTACATTTATCCTTAATCAAAGGAAGGCTTTGGAATAATGAAACCTGTAATTGTATATGTGCATGAAAATGCGGGGCACCTAGTGGGATTCTTAATGACTGTTATCACCTTTTTTTTTTTCCCTCCCTCTCCATACAGAGTCCTCGGGGCCCATTCAATCAGTTATAGAATAATACTTTTCTTATTTCTTTCGATGGAGAATTTTTCACTTCATTTCCATTTATATTTTCCATTTCCCCACTGGACTTTGTTATCTGGGTCACATTAGGGAGTGACGAGCCCTCTTGAAATCATAGAGGAATCTGTTGAAAGGCACCCAAGGTTACGATGTGTTTTAACCTTTCTCTTGTCACCACTGGATGCCCGTAAGGGATTTTCCCCTCTCTGAAGTAAAGCTGGCTTGCATTAATCAGCAGAAACTATCTAGGCGCTGGTTTAACCGGTTTCTTGTTCTAAGTGGCAAATAATTAAACATGCAAAGATGAACAGATACTGGCTTGGGGTGAATTCTAATAAATCCCTGCATAGATGGAGTGAAGATTTTGTGCTCTGAACAGAAGATGGGTCAGAAGATTAGGGAATGAGGCATAAATTAGGTTCAGAGAGAGAGAAACACACTTTGACAGCCAGTTTTGATCCCTAGGAATTTCTAGGGGTGGTTATTTTCTTTGGGGACACACAAAATTAATTTTCTTAATTTCTCAGTACATCAAGAGAGCCGACTTGGTGGCCAGAAAGCTGTGCTCCCACCCCTGGTTCCAGAAACCTAAAAGCAGAACCTAACGATTATAGCATTCTTCAGTCTAAGGTCCCTCCGTCACATCCTGTCCACAAACCTGGGAGCCACGTGTGTCACACCACCTTTTCCAAAAGAGATAAATGAGGCCTTAGTTAAATAACAAGACCCTGCCCTGCTGCTCCCATCAGGAAGCTGTGTTCTAGACAAAAGCAGCAGCCATCGCCACAGTGACGTTCATACCCATCAGAGGTGTGCAGTGGCTGTGCCAGGGAAGCGCCCTTGTTGGGGAGGCTCACGGGGCAGCTCTCTGCCCAGAACATACAGGTCAGTGACATCTCATCCACTGGGAGGAGTGTATGGAAATTGCTTGCTTCTGTTTATTTCTTGGGGAAACAAGTACTACCTGCTTTTTAGGTAGGTTCCATTTTCTCATTTACAAGGGCTCTTAACCACTGAGTCAGTCACATCTCCGGCCCTTTTTATTTATTGATTTTTTTTTTTTTTTTTTTAGCTGCTTAGGGACGCTAAATTGCTTAGGGACTTGTTAAGTTGCTGAGGCTGGCTTTGAACTCACGATCCTTCTATCTCCCCCAGCCTCTGGAGCCACTGGTATTACCAACATGCACCACCAAATCCAGCTACAAAGGCTCTTATAATGACACATTAGGAATGGTGACTTGGATTTATTTGCCTGGTGATATTTGATCAGACACAACATCTTTGTTTGTATGTGGTGCTGAGGATCGAACCCGGGCCACACGCATGCCAGGCGAGCGCGCTACCGCTTGAGCCACATCCCCAGCCCCACAAACATTTTTCTAGAATGGGCCAGATGATGAATATTTTAGGCTTTACAGGTTATACAGTCTCTCCTAACTATTCATCTGGGCCTTTAAAGGGTGAAAGCAGCTATCAGCAACATATAAATAATAGGGTCATGGCTGTGTGCCAATAAAACTTTATTTATAAAAACAGAAGAGGGGCTGGATCTGGCCTGCAGGTTGGACACATCCACCTCCTGTGTTAGACCAGTGGTGCTCTGTCTGCTGTTGAGTGTGGTACACCATGAACAAGGTTTTCTTGACCTGTGTTACCCAGTTCTCAGAAGAACCCATGAGGTAGCTGTTCCTCTTCCCACTTGACAGTTGAAGGTAGCAGAGGCTGAAAGCCATTGAGTAACAGCTAGTGAGTGGTGTGATGACTTTACGTCTCATGACCTGTGGCCTAGTGTTCTTCCTTGCCTCGTGCTCTCTGTTATACATAGTCAGGATACGACAAGACCTTCAAACTGCAAAGGAAGAGAGAATTTCTTATTGATGTTCTGCACTCTGCATGGCTCTGGAGATTATTTGGTTGATAACTCTAGAGGCCATCTAGGACCAGTAATTATAGCTTACATGGTACAGTAATTGTGACAGAAATTCAGACCTTGTGAACAATAAAGAGGACTAAGTCCTCCAAGTCAAGAATGATGCTGTCAGGCTGGGGCTGTAGCTCAGCAGGAGAGCTCTCGCCTTCCAGGTCCAAGGCACTGGGTTCAATCCTCAGCACCGCGTAAAAATAGATAAATTAAACAAAGGTACTGTGTCCATCTACAACTAAAATATTTTTTAAAAAATAAAAAAGAAAGAATGATGTTGTCACTTCTTCTCTTCTTAAGTGCTAAAAACAGATTCCTGGGGAAGGTCATTACAAGGTGATCTTTCCTGCCAAAGCAGGCTGTGGTCAGTGGGGAACACCACGTCTGCCAGGATTTGCCAGGGTATCCAGATTTACTTTTGAGCACAAAGTGTGCCTGGCTTTCAGAAGAAACTCATTGCCTCCTCTTTCTTCCCCTGCAGAAAGCCACCATTAGCCATGTCTCACCCGATAGCCTTTACCTGTTCCGAGTCCAGGCCGTGTGTCGGAATGACATGCGCAGCGACTTCAGCCAGACGATGCTCTTCCAAGGTAAGGCTGGTTTCCTTCTCACTCCCACCTGACCCTCTGTTCATGCTTTGTCCTTTTCCTGGAGGGGTTTGGGCACAAGAACACAAACCCAGTCTAAGGATCCACGTAGGCATTTAAAGCACACCTAGAAAACCCCAGGAATTTGTATCTGTCTTTGAGGTTGGACATACCCTAGGTCAGAAGAGGGGAAGAAAAGCAAAGCAATTTTTGGCTTATTGATTTTATTGTTATTTTCCAACTTTGGGGAACCAGGCATGTGGGCTTTTCCACTACCCATTGTCTAGCCCCATGTCAGAGTGTGTTGGCAGGTGTCCTCTTTGGATTTCCAACATGATTCTGTCTATTGTTCCCTCAAGAACTGCAGCCAGGGCTCGGATGCAGCTTGGTGGAAGAGCACTTGCCCAGCATGCATGAGGCCCTGGGTTCCATCTCCAGCACCAAACTTAAAAAAAACCAAAAAAAACTTAGAGCCCCAAATATGTGATTCACCTTTCCCACTTGCAAGCCACAGACAAGCCCTTGCGCTTTTTTGTATTTTTTTATTTAGAGACAGGGTCTCACTGAGTTGCTTAGCACTACACTTTTGCTGAAGCTGACTTTGAACTCAAGATCCTCCTGCCTCAGCCTCCTGAGCCACTGGGATGATTGGCATGCACCACCGTGCCCAACAAGATACATAACTATTCAATGGGATATTTTTTTTTTAAGAAAACAAAATCAGTACAAAGAATTTTAAATGAAGATGAGGGGCTTGGGATACTGTAGCTCAGTGGTAGGTAGAATACATGCTTACCTTGCCCTTGGTTTAATTGCTAGCACCAAACATATAATAATAAAAATTTAAAAATAAAGATAGGATGCATTCTGTCTTACTTGCCCCAGCCTAATCTTGGTACTGGTTCCCAAAACAGGCAGCCCTATGGGCCAGAGGTTGTGGATTTGGTTTTCTGATAGGCACTCTGAGCAGTGTACAAGTAAGGACCAGGGCACTGGACGGGACTCTGCCAGTCTGAGGCCCTTCCTGCTCAGGATCTTTACTTCTTAGGGGCCTCAACTTTCCCATTTCCAAATGATAAACCTGCACCCCAGGATACTGGTTCTTAACCTTTTTGAGTCCCTGAAAAATGCAGAAATCCTCTAGAACATATCATAGGTCATAGATGAGCAGCATCAGCATAGGGAGGTGGTCACAGGCATCTGAGTTCTAACAAGGTGCCCCTAGTGACTGGCACACACATTAAGGGCTGGCAAATGCTAGGTTGGAGCCGGGGATCTGGAGTGAGGGTCTCCAGTGTGTCCTGGCTGCCAGTTAGCTACTGTGCCACTCTTGAGAATATCTCTTATCTTGGAGCTACATATAGCCTGCCAATCCAAACAGTGGTGGTATTGACAGTACCAACCTCACTGGGTCCTTGTAGAGTGACAGGTGAGGCATATTAAAGAACTAGCATAGTGTTAATTACTGGCAGTGCTGTTGACATCTCCTTAATACAGGTTGAGTATCCCTTATCTGAAATGATCAGATGGGTTTCACACTTCAAAGTTTTGTTTTTCGGGGGTGATTTTGGAGTATTTGCATAGACTTTACGAGTCAAAGATCCCTACTTAGTAGCTAAATGATTTTCTCCTTGTGCATCCTGAACACATCCTGAGCATCCTGGATCATTTTGGAACACAAACTCAAGATCCAAAATGATCCAGAATTTAAAACCATTTCTCAGTGCTTATAAAGTTTTGGACTTTGAATTTTGGGGAGGATTTTGGATTTTTAGATTAGCAATGCTCAATGTGTATTTTAGTTTGATGTAAAAAAAAAAAAAAAGTGATGAACTCAGGGCAAGAGGCCCTCTGGCCTAGATTTCTTTCAAGGCTTCTTTCTAGCTCAAAAATTTTGCATGTAGTATTTATTCTTTGCTAATGATCTCATCCTTTCTATTTAAACTAGTCAAAATTAGCATGATTGCGGTTTTACATAAGTAAATCTCACTCACTCTGTCTATCCATACGCTGAATATATTAACCCTTTCCCAGTGTTAAGACCATGAGCCAAGGGGAGAGAGAAGGGAGGGCAGACTGGGAGCTTGCTACAGCCGGGCCTAGGAACTTCAGACATATCAGTCATGATTAGGCCTCCCCTGTGCTCCATCCAAGAACTCTAGATCTACAGAGCTGCCTCTTCTGATGAATAGCCCTTGAGCTGCCTGGCTTTCACGCTGACTTTGAAAAATTAAATGTTTATAATATAATGCAATTCAAAAAGGCCCTGTCAGCTGTAAACTCAAAGCAAAGAGTGTTTTAAATGTCTGACCACAGTGACTTATTAAAAATGGCTGGTGTCTCCTTTGTCCACCAATATCTTTGCTCAGAGGTGGACAGGAGTTTGCTCCGTGTGCCCTGGTGCTTACTCCTGTAGGTGCGTCAAGGGGCGGGATCTTTCTTTACACCTGCCCAGGATAGCTTCAGCATTTTTTCCTACAACACATGTGCATAGTGTAAAAACCTAGATCTTGATGTGGGTGAGCTTACTTAGCTTTTCTGCTGTGCCAGGTGTAGGCAGTTAGGAGCAAGAGAGGCCAGGGTACCAAATTCATCAATGTGAACTTAAGATTCAAAAGGAAAGAAAAATTTTAAAAAAAGGTTAGAGAATTCTATAGCAGCTTTGTTCACAGTAATAAATGTGCATATGATTTGGGAACGAGAGAAAGTCACATGGAATATTTTACCTTATTGTAGTAACTATTACAATATTTAAGTATAGAAGATAATCAGTATATTTACCTTACTGTGGTAAATATAATAGCCATAATACTAACAAGTGGTATTTTTGAAGTGGCTCACCATTACCAGGCATTTTTACCTAAATTACTTCATCTGAACTTCACTTGGTGACAGCCACTAAGGTTATATGTTTTATAAATGGGGAAATAATGTTCAGGATGCACAAGGAGGAAATCATTTAGCTACTAAGTGGAGTTTGCTCCTCTTCTTCTTCTTTTTCTTATTATTATTATTATCTTTTTTTTTTTTTTTTGGTATCAGGGATTGAACCCAAGGATACTTAAGCACTAAGCCACATCCCCAGCCCATTTAATATTTTATTTAGAGATAGAGTCTACCTGAGTTGCTTAGGGCCTCACTAAGTTGCTGAGGCTGGCCTTGAACTTCTGATCCTCCTGCCTCAGCCTCCTGAGCCACTGGGATTACAGGTGTGCGCCATCACATCTACTTCTTTTCTTATTCTAAAGCCCAATCATTGTTGTGCAGCCATGGACCACCCTAAAGAGTTATGACTCAGTAGCCCAGCTGTTCAAAGAAAGGATAAAACAATAGCTGACTAAGTATTCCAAGCCATTTCCCAGATCTCAGCAGTCACAGGAAGAGGGCTGGGGGTGGGGGTGGGGGTTCCTGAGCTTTTGCTTTGAGTCACAGACCCCAGGAGACAGCCTGGAGAAGCTCACAGATCCTCCCTCAGAATGGTTTTAAATCAATGAGTAGAATACATAGCAGAGGAACCAATTATGTTTAAATACAGTTGTCAAAATATTTTAAACCAATCCGAGATTGAGCAGTATATGCGCTAACTGTAGTAAAGTTTTAAATGACAAACAGCTGGCCTGTGAGTGGCTGTTATTTCTGAGCATTGATGAACATCAGTGATATGCCCAAATAACCACTATAATGCCAAAGCAGTGTGAAAACAATATGGATCCTGCGTCCTTCCTTCACGACAGGAGGTGCACAACTGCAGGGAGCTTAGCCAGAATACAGATGTCACACACACCCCCCACACCTCATCCCTGCATTCCATTAGGCCTCTGGTCCAGGTTTAAGGACTCCTGATCTGAGAGTTCTTAAAGAAAGTTCCTGATCACCAGAGCTACCACTGACCCTAGTAAAGACTGTGCAAGACTAACAAAAATCTGACACATAGATGGAGTAACTGTTGAGTTTGTTGGCCTTCGTTAGAGCCCTTTCTAAAGGGCAGGTAAGGTCACTCTCCTGAGAACTTTCCTTCCTGTGTTAATGGAGGGAGGCGTGTTCACCTGTCCAAGCAGTTGAAGTCTGGATGCCTGGGCAACTCCATGATCATGGGAGGCCACTTGTAGTCCCCGTGAGACCCACACTATTTGTTCCATGGCTGCTTTGTTGGACCTGGAATCTACCCAGTTGCTTTGCCTTCTAGATCCATCTCTTCCCCACATGAGCCTCTTTACATATTTCAGTATCCAACTATGCAAAATGAACGTATCTTTAGGTCAAGGGGTTGCACGCTCAGGTGCCTGGGGTGGGGGCAGGCATGGGATAGGTTGTGAAAGAAGGGAGGGTTCTCCGTGGGAAATGTGAGACCATGCACCCAGCTAAAGGGGGTGACAGATCCTTGGCCCCAGGCAAGTGTTGCCCTGTATGGAAGTCACCCAGTATTGCCAACATTGATCATAATTTTGCAGATCAATGTTCACCTGAGAGTTTTTGAGGTGGAAGCCTTTACAATGTTGGGAGAAGATTTGATTTTTTTTTTTTTTAATACCAAGGATTGAACCCAGAGGCACTTAAATACTGAGCCATATCCCCAGACTTTTTTTTTTTATTTAGAGACAGGTTGCTGAGGCTGGCTTTGAATTTGTGATTCTCCTGCCTCAGTTTCCTGAGCTGCTAGGATTATAGGCTCAATTTCTTAAAGAGGCTTACAAGGCAAACAAAAATATACATAGGTCACTTGACATTTTTGATGTAGTTGTAAAAACTGTAGCAGGCACAGGGTAGTTAGGTAATTAGCATTTGGGGGCTAGTTTTTCAGTGCAGTGTATGTAGGTGGCAGATTTTTCGCTTCTTCCAGCACTTTCGGTTTTTGCAATAACCACAAAGTTTGATGTTTTTAAGTTCTGTTGTTTAGCATTATTCATAATAGCACAAAGGTAGAAGCAGATGAATGGATAAACAAAATGTGGTATATATGGCTGTCCTTGAGGAGATTATGCTAAGCAGACTAAGCCAGTCACAAAACCACCAATACACAGGGTGACATTTATATTAGATGTCCAAAGAAGTTCAGTTTATAGGAATGGAAAGTAGAGAGGTGGTTGCCAGGGTTGAGGGTAGGAGGAAATGAGCAGTTGTTTCGGTATGTAGAGTTCCAGTTTTCCAAGATGAAGAAGTTCTAGAGAGAAATGGTAGTGGTGGTTGGTTGCACAATAACATGAACATTCTTAACACTACTGAACCATAGACCTAAAAATGGATCACCATGCTGGGCACGGTGGTGCACACACCTGTAATCCCAGTGACTCGGGAGGCTGAGGCAGGAGGATCACAAACAAGTTCAATGCCAGCCTCAACAATTTAGCAAGGTGCTAAGCAACTCAGCGAGACCCTGTCTCTAAATAAAATACAAAATCAGGCTGGGGATGTGGCTCAGTGGTCGAGTACCCCTGGGTTCAAACCCCGGTACCCACATCCCCACAAAAAAATGGATCAAGTGGCAAATTTAATATTGTGTATCTTACTATAATTTAAAAAATTAAGTTACATTGTTTAATTATAACCATATGGGAAAAGAAAACTACAGGAAGAAATGAGCACCACTGAAAGGATAATGAATGATGAATATCAGCTAGTTTGACCATGTGAAACAGTGGCACTGTCTTAATATTTTAAAACACAAGGAGAAATTAAATGAATAATAACATACAAAAGGGGTAAGATGCCTGGCGTGGTGGTGCACACCTGCAATCCCAGCAGCTCAGGAGGCTGAGACAGGAGGATCGTGAGTTCAAAGCCAGCCTCAGCAGCTTAGTGAGACCCTAGGCAACTCAGTGAGACCCTGTGTCTAAATAAAATCCAAAATAGGGCTGGGGATGGGGCTCAGTGGTCGAGTGCCACTGGGTTCAATCCCCAGAACCCCTCCTCCCAGAAAAAGCGGGGTAAGACAAAAAAATAGGCTTTGCTTCATTTTTTAGATGATAAAAATATTAATTGAAGAGAGGCATATTAGAATCCCAATGGATGATACAGGAAATGATGACCAAAAAGATCATTGAGAAGAACAATGGAATAATATAATTCCATTTAAATACAGTTCAAATATTGGCAAAATTCTGACAGAGTAGAATGTGGGCTAACTTTGGGGCTGAGTGGATATTATCTGGGTTGGGGGTGCAAGCAAACCTTTACAGCAGCAAAGCACCAGAGAATATCTAGATCTTTTTTTTTATGATTAAAAACATCATTTACTACATGTTCAAATGATAATAGTTTGGACATATTGGGATACATAAATAAATACGTTTTAAAAATTAATTTTGCTGTCTTTTTTTGGTATCTTAAAATGGGTGTTACACAGGTGTTTACATATGTAAAAAAAAACTGAATTGTATATTTAAATCTTGTGTACTTTACTGTATGGAAGTTGTGCCTCAATATTAAAACAGAAAACTACCAAAAAAATTTTAAATTTTAATCAGCACCTTAAGACAGGGGACAGCAAACTGTGGATCATAGTCCAAATCTCTGCATGATTTTGTATGACTTGCAAGCAAGAAAGGATTTGGGGTTTTTTGGTTGTTGTTGTTGGTGGTGGTGATTTTTTTTTTTTTTTTTTTGCATTTTTAAACGGTTGGACAAAACCTGCAGAGGAATGTTTTATGACATGTGAGCATGTCGTAAATATGTTTATATGTATGTATAAAAATTCAGATTCAGATTTGTGTTCACAATTAAAAGTTTTGTTGGAACTTCCTCTCCCCCAAAGAAAATGGTCTGTGGTTTACATTGCCATTTCTTTATTTTTCAGCTAATACCACTCGAATATTCCAGGGAACCAGGATTGTGAAAACAGGAGTGGTAAGTAAAGAAATAGTGGTTGTTTTGTCCTGGGTGGCTGTTAATTTGCATGCAGTTATGAGTATTACCACAAGGTGGCAGTATGATATTGTTGAATTGCACAATCTGAAGATGTTAAAATAGAGAAAAAGTATTCACTCTTCGATACGTTTTGAAAAAGAGCTGTGCAATAGTGTTAGAGGTTTATATTGTATAATTTTGTAATTATTTTTGTTCCCTGAGATCAGATGATACAAGGGGGTTAATCTGTTCTGAGCCCTTCATCTGGCATAAAATAAAATTAAAGATTTTGTCACCTGCCCAAAGTTACAGAGATTTGCAGATTTCTGGAGCCTGAATTAATATCTCTGTTTCCCCATTCCTGATACAACTAATAAAGATGGTGGTTATAACAATAATAGCCTGAAACTCACTAAGCACTTCTGAATTTCAGGCACAGGTTATTTTACTCACTTCTCAAAACAGCCACAAAATTGCATTACTATTCTCCCCATTTTACAAATGAGGAAAATGAGGTTCATTGAGTTAAAGTAATGTGCCCAGCATCAACCAGAGAACAAGGAAGGGGTCATCAACTTGGGCCCAGGGAGCCTGACCTTCTGTATCAAGTCAAGTCTCAGGTGGTATTTTGTCTTCATTAATGAACTTCAGAACTCAGCTTTGCTAACCCGGTCTTCCTTAAAGTACCAAGTTTTCACTTGAGGATGAAGTCAAGAAACCTGAGTTGCTCCCGTTATTGTTTTGAATTGTATAAATGATAGGATGGAATTTTGGATTCTAGCTTGTGAGAACTAAACTATCTCGGAACAGAAAAATTTATTATTTTCATAGATACCTTATATGAATAAAACTCCAAAACTGAGCCTCAGAGTACAGTGATCAGGATGAGCTGAGATTTGCCAGTAGGTAGCCATGTCTAGCTCTGTCCTAGCTCTGTACCTGGGGTAAGCTCCTGGACACTGTCCTCACCTATCAGATGGGGTGAGGATCAAATCTGCCTCCAGGGTAGCATGGAAAACCTTGGTACACAATTGGCACTTGTTGAGTGCAACTCTTGATATTGTTGTTAATGTTGTTGTCATCTACATGGGCATAGGTTTTGCCATGGACCAGCCCAGAGATTCTGAAAGGTACCATGTCCATGGGCTCAAGTGTAGAAAGATAGAAATGTAAGCCAGTTCCCAGAGCTGGCAGTGGGAAGTAACTCCTGCTCCTGACTGTGTCAGAGTGCCCCTGGCCAGGCCATTCCCCCTCTCTCTCCATCCATTCCCTCAGGGCAAGATGGTGGAGTTGGACATGATTCCTTAGGGCCCTTCCAGACCTAAGAGCTACGTGTTCACCAGAATTTCCAATGGTTGACATAAAAGCATGAAACTCGTGCCCTTTGTCACCTTGAGAATAGTAGACTATCTAATATTGCCAAGTTGTCGCTTTTCACTGTCTTCAAGCCAACTTGAATGCCACGCTTAACTTTTGTGCCACCTAGCCTCATCCTGAGCAACATCAGTGACATTGTGTTTGCTACACTAGTTAAATGTTTTAATGCATCCAAATTATTTATAAAACCATTAAAATAAGAGTTGGCCACCCATGGTCAACATTTGCACCAACCATTGGCGGACCACATGGATGGATGAGTCAAACTCTATGAGGTTTTGCAAACCAGGGTCTCATTCTCAGTCCTAATTACTGATACCTGTCTGCTTTTTCATTCCTCTGCTGCTTCTGCAACCTCCCGGTGACCTTTTTAGCCCACAGCGTCTCCTGCCTCTTCAGCTGACATGGCCCCCATCAGCTCGGGATCTTCCACCTGGACGTCCTCTGGCATCCCCTTCTCATTTGTTTCCATGGCAACCGGGATGGGCCCCTCCTCCAGTGGAAGCCAAGCCACCGTGGCCTCAGTGGTCACCAGCACGCTCCTTGCAGGCCTGGGTTTTGGGGGAGGGGGCATCTCCTCCTTCCCCAGCACCGTGTGGCCCACGCGTCTCCCCACCGCTGCCTCCGCCAGCAAGCAGGCGGTGAGGCCAGTGCTTGCGACCACGGAGGCCCTGGCTTCTCCAGGGCCCGACAGTGATTCGGCACCCACCAAAGACAGCGAGGGCACAGAAGATGGGGAGAAGGATGAGAAAAACGAGAGTGAGGATGGAGAACGGGAGCATGAGGAGGAAGGAGAGAAGGACTCGGAGAAGAAGGAGAAGAGCGGGGTGACCCGTGCCACCCAGGAGCAGAATCGGGTCATGCCCACCTCGACCCCCTCGACTCCTAACAGGACTACGGAGGAGGGCGGGCATCAGACTATACCGGGGCGCAGGCAGGACCATCCTGCCACCCCTACAGAACAGCCAGGCCGGGCAGGGGATGCCGCCCCAGGCCTGGACTCGGACGTGGTCACCCCCACCCAAGTGCCCCCCACAGCTACAGAGGAACATTATGCAGACAGCGATCCCAAGAGGCCCGAAGTACCATCTAAAAAGCCTGGGTCCCGAGGGGACCGATTTTCCGAGGATAGCAAATTTATCACTGTCAACCCAGGTAAGTGGGGCGGGTCCTCCTTTGAGGTTTTGTGCTGCTGGGACCCAGTCTAACCCTTTTTATAAGAATCCGGGGTGGAGGATGATAATTCAGAAAGTAGTAGAGTCTCTCAGTACTGTGTGTGCCCCTAAAGCAAGAGGAGTGAGTGTGTGTCCTTGCCTGTGCTGACCGCAGGTGTCTCCCTGTTCTATTCCTATAGAAGAACCTAGCCTCTGATCTTGGCTGAAATAATTCTCTTCTTGATACTTATGTCCTTGCCTTGGAGTACCTCCCAAGACTTCAACCAGGCAGTGAAAAAAGTGAATAAAAAAGACAGTAATCCTAAGAAGTTTACCCATGAAGATTTCATCCCTTAACCCTTTAATTAGCACATGGGCAGTCAGTGTTGTGTGGGGCACTTGGCTGGATTCTGCATCCAGGACTCCCAGAGCCTGCCTCCTGGGATAAAGGGAAAGACAGATGATTGGCAGCAGCTCCCTGGAGCACAAGTCAGGAAACTGGGTAGCAGGAACAGTAGAGGGCCATCCATTTAGGTCATTAGGTGGCAAGCCAGAAAACTGCCTAACTATAAAGGGTTTTTTTGTTGTTGTTTGTTTGTTTTTAGTATTTTTTTTTAGTTGTAGTTGGACACAATGCCTTTATTTTATTTATTTATTTATTTATTTATATTGTTTTAATGTGGTGCTGAGGATGGAACCCAGAGGCAAGCGTTCTACCACTGAGCCACAACCCCAGCCCCCTAACTAAAGTTTTTGATTATAAAATGATAACAGAGAAAATAATCACAATGTAATCAAAGAGAATTAGGAGGACAGGGACCTACTCCTGAAACCTTATTAGTCCATGGTCTTGTACTACAAAATGTGGCCCTGTATCCCAGAGCTGTCATTGTCTATGTGAGTTGTTACCCAGTGTCCAGACCAGGGCGTGGCTTGTCTGGCCTCTGCTTGATGTGACAATTTTTTCCTTTTTTGCTTTATCGTATGCTCAACTCTTAATGAACCATTCTGATAGTTTCCACAAGGGAGCTATAGCATGAGGGGTTGTTATTGTTGTGAGGGGTTTTCTTAATAAGAAATTCTTCGTTTTGCCAGACTACAAGATGTTTAGCAACAATTTTTTTTCTTTCTTTTTTTTTTTTTTTTGCGTCTAAGCTGTTGTAGAGTTATAAGAGTGCAAAAAAAAGGCAACTGGTAAATATTTATTTGCTTTTGCACTTGTAAACATTAAAATTCATCTAAAGCTGAGATCTCGTATGTCAAGATACAACTTAGAATAAATTTTCATGTTTTGAATTACTTTCCTCTTAAAGCTGGTATGAACTAATTTTTTAAAGTAGGGGTCTCCCTATGGATGTTGCTCAGTTTGTTACAGCTTTAGGGAAAGGTGCTCAGGAGCCTCGTGTGGAATTAAGTGAAGGAAATATGGACCCCTTATGAAGCTGTTCCTTGATGAACATGACTTTCCCTCTAGGGATTGCTGGGAGACAGCTGAATTTCTTGCACTTGAAGACATCATAGAAAAAAATAATAATAAGGAGTGCCCACTGTACCCCTGGCACTGGACTAGGCACTGGGATGAGACCCTAGATCAAGACAGACTTCTGTTCTCCTGGGGGTTAATAGTCTAATGGGGGAGCTCGAAACTATTGCATTAAACAAATGCATGTCTTTTAAATAGTGTTCATTGCTGAAGTCAGGGAGAGGGACAGTATAACCCTGAGTGGCCAAGGATGACATTTGAGCAGTGGACCAAGTGCTGAGGAGAAGCCATGTTGAGATCCACAGAAGAGCATTCTAGGCTGCAGGAACAGCAGGTATAGCAGGACCCTAAAGTGGGCATGAGTTTGGATGGGTTGAGGAGCTATCAGAAAGAAGGCCACTGGAGTGAGAACATGAGGGAAGAAGTGAAGTGTGAATTCAGAGGCTGGCACAAGTCCTGTGTGGGAGGGATTCATTGGCCATGCTGAGGATTGGTTGTACTTGAAATGGGAAACCAATGGCAGAGTCCATCTCATTGACTTTTTTGAAAGATCACTTGGGCCTTTGCATGGAAATCATAGGGGAGCCCTGGTTAGGACTCACTGGTTATATGGCGAGGACCAGCCATTGTATTTTCTCCCAAGACAAGGGGTGGGTTTGGAACTGTTCTTTGAGCTTGTGTGGTTTGACCTCTAGACTAAAGGTTCTGGCAAATAGTGTCCTCAAACCTTTCTTTGACTATACTTTCGAAAAATATGGCTGCTGAGAGCTTGGTTGGGAGTAGTCACAGCTCTAGAGGCTGGAAATGGTGTGGAGTCCAGGACTACTCCAGGTGGGTGGCAATGAGTTCCTGCCACTGGATTCGGATTCCAGGGAGAGGGGAGAAAAACGAGGGACAACCTTGGGGATTTCCAGCGCCAGGTATGGGGCATGTGCATCTCTGGGTATTAGAGAGCATTTTATAGTCTTGAGGAGAGTGGCTTTTGGAATCAAATCATCTTAGCTCAGTCCCTTATTCACTCCATGTCCTCATCTGTAATGTGGAGATTATACTAGCCCATTGGGGCAAAGGGTGATGTAGATAAAGGAGGAGCCATGTTGAGATCCATGGAAGAGCATCCACCTCCTTCTTGGTGACAAGGAAGGAGGTGCTCTCAGCAGGAATAATGGCAACTATGAGGAATCCCCCTAATTGTGTGTGTGTGTGTGTGTGTGTGTGTGTGTTTGGTATCAGGGATTGAACCTAGGAGCACTTAACCACTGAGCCATATCCCAGCCTTTTTTTTTTTTTAATTTTGTGGCAGGGTCTCACTAAGTTGCTGAGCTTGGCTTTGAACTTGTAATTCTTCTGCCTCAGCTCCCACATCACTGAGATTATAAGTGTGTGCCACCATGCCCAGCACAACATGTCTTTTTTGCAGACATCCATGGACATTGAAGAGCATATCAAGACTGGTCCCCAGTTAACTGGCTTTAAAAATGACCTCCAGGGCTGGGGTTATGGCTTAGCAGTATAGCTCTCGCCTCGCACATATGAGGCCCTGGGTTCAAGCCTCAGCACCACATAAACATAAATAAATAAAAGATATTGTATTCAATTACAACTAAAAAAAAATTACCTCCAAGAATAACTGTCCATCCTGGGCACTGGTAAATCTGGCTTCTCCATGCCAATGGGAAGATCCACTCCTCCCCAAAGCCAAAGAGGTGCTTCTTTCAGAATTTCAGGCAATTTGAATTTGAAAGTGGCAGTGGAGATTGTTTAAGCCAGGGTTTGACAGATTTCTCCAGCAAATACCAGACAGTAAATATTTGTAGCTTTGCCATAGGTGTTGGTTGCGACCACTCCGTTCTGCCTCCCAGCAGCCACAGCAGCCACAGAAAAGACATAAATAAGTGGATGTGATTGGAGGCCAGGAAACTTTGTCTACAAAAACAGGCAGTGGCCCAATGGGGCCCATGAGCTGTCATTTGCTGGTTCCTGATTTAAGCAGGAATAATTGTGTGTGTGTGTGTGTGTTGTTTAAAAAAGGATGTAACTTGAAGGCAAAAATGGCAAGCCTACATGGGTCCATGATCCTCAAGGTCTCGATACATCTCCATCCATCCATCCCATCCTGCCCCCCATCTGCCTCCACCCACTTGATGTTTGTTTTTTCAACTGAAATAATGGTTGTTGTAATATTAGTGGTGATTAATTTTAAAGACTTTGGACATACATTTGTTTGAGTCCATTGCACACTTAAATTATTTTCACATTAACTAAAAACAATTATTTGAATTAATATTTAGCCTCCTTGAGAAAAGTGATAGCATCTAAAGATATAAACTATTCTGTTTTTATAAGTATCTCCAAAAGGCTTGTTTACAGTCCTTTGATAACATCCTTGAAGAGCTGAGTAATAGCTTTATCCCCTAAGGGAGGAAAGGAGGGGAATCCTTCTATGGATGAGGTGACAAAGTCAGGCACCTCCAGAAATCAGACAGGCAATTTCAGTGACAGAAAAGGAGCAGGTATTAAGCATTAGGGACTGGTGAGGTCTATAGCACGCTAGGGAACTCCTGCCTTTTCTCAAGAGGGCCTTCTCAGCTGGGCATGGTGGTTCTCAGCTGAGCATGGTGGTACACACCTGGAATCCCATCAGCTTGGGAGGCTGAGGCAGGAGGATTACAAGCTTGAGGCCAGCATGGCAATTTAGCAAGACCCAGTCTCAAAATCAAAAATACAAAGGGCTGGGGATGAGGCTCCATGATTAAGCACCCCTGGACTCCATCCCTGGTACCAAAAAATTAATAATATCAATAAAAAGAGGGCCTTCACAGTTCCATCTGATTCTTGCTTTGAAAATGCCTGGTGAGTCAAATGATTCAGGTTTTATTGCAGAATCCTCCAATTTTAAGTGATTTCAAATCTCAAAAACAAGTTTTTTTGTTTGTTTGTTTGTTTCCACGTGTGCCAAAGAAAAACACATCCCTGGACCAGGTAGGAACCACCAGTGCTCCGCTCCTGTTACAGTGGTGACCGCAATGGTTTGCCTCACTTTGGATGCCCGTGTGTCGCAGTCATCTCCTCCCCTGTCACCAACCTTTTTTTGAACATCTATTTAGTGCAAAGCCCTCAGCCGGATGTGTGCTGCGTGGAAATCCAGCAGATGGTCCCTCCTCAGGAGCCCCTGCGTGAATATGGAGGCAGACTAAAAACCCATCTGATGCAATTCTGGGTTCTTGGGTCAGCGTGGGGGTGTGGCAAGCCCCAGCAACACATGCGGAGAGCACACAGTCTACAGACTCGTCATTTTGTGCTAGGATTTGTCCACGTTTGTTTGCTTGAATGAAGGAAACTCAGATTAAATTTGATTCAGAACTGCAACATATCCACAGTGTTTCGTGGATGGTTTACCAACCACTTCTTCCAGTCAGCCCTGGGCAGATGCTAAAGGGATGGTCCAGCTCAGGTCAGCAAACTACAGCCCACAGGGCCAGTCTAGCCCATGGCCTACTTTTATATGGTGCATGAGT